TATTATATTCGGTTATTGAAAAACTAATATGGCAATAATGTACTGCCAATTTTTGGCGCCTTCTGTATGTGGTGCGACAATATGCTGCAAGTAATATTGGTAGTTAGGGTTTTGCTAATATTTTTTTTTATTTAATTAAACTGACTGTATCACATTTATCGAAAAATTATGTAGCATAGTACTGCTTCACATATTTTTTCCCTATGTCATTTGAATTGCTTTAGGTTTTTTCTTTCTAAACATTTTTTTAATAAATCAAATTCTACAAGAACTTAAGATCAAAATCTTTTGATATTGAGTATTTTAATAAATCTCACAACAAAGCCAACATTATCTTCGATGAAATAAACAACGTGGCCGTATTATTAATCAAATAATCTCCTAATAATCATTTCTGCTATTAAAAATGTGTATATCGATTAATTTAAGTAACCATAACGTAAGTAATTTTGAACATGAAAAATATCACTTAAATCAATGAGTCTAGAACACTAGAAACTCCACTACTTCTCTACTTAAGGTATTCAACAGTAAAATATTAAAACAAAAACCATTTCCACAACAAGACAACGCAACGAACCAACTAAAATACAAACTGTTTGTAACAATAAAATACTTTTGGTTGCCAGTTGCCAGAATATTTTGGCTTTTGTTGATCCATGAGGCTTTCACAAAAGTTTTCGTTGCAGCGCAACTAAAGCCTAGCTTTTATATCCGGTCCAGAGTTAATTACAAGTTAAAAATGCAAATAATATGAAATGTAAAGAAAGATTTTATGGCTAAATGCAATATTACTTTTGAATAAGCATCATTTGTTATTTTACTTATGACGAGATACACTACTTCTTCTTCTTTCTCAGCCATAAGTCGCCCACTGCTGGGCATAGCCCTCCCCCAAAGAGTAGATTACAGATCCCCAGAGATACAATTACGATAGGCAATTTTTATTTTAAAACTTGAACTTGACTAGTTTCTTTTCTAATTTAAAGTGAGTCATTGTTTGCTGGTTTTGTTCGTTCGGGTTTTGACGTTAAATCTCAAAATTTTTATCCACTTATACAATAATATTTTTCAAACTTACTTTATAAAATAATTATTTATAATATTAAATGCAAACATAGTGGAATTGATGAGTATTCATAAAAGAAATATGATCTCACCGCGGAAATCATTCAATTCTATTGAATTTTCAAGCTATATGTACACATATGTATACATATGTATAACGAAATGAATCACGTTCCCGCTTTGCTAGCATACCCGTTGATTCCAACAAGCAAATGGAAAAATCCACTACCTATTTTATTTGTTTTGAAACCGACAATCATTTTATATTTTGATTAAACGATACGTATTTCGAAATATGTATACTGTATTCAGTTATGTCACTACCTACTTTATATTCTATAGGAATTTCAGTAAAAGAAAATAATACCTATATTAAATTGAAGAGTAATAAACAAATATTAAAGAATTAAACTAATAAACATAAGTATAGTTATTTCATAATATATATTTCCTTTCACATATCCATATCATGTTTTACGCTGAACCATTACGGTTACATTAAAAAGTAATAAAAGTCCCTTTTAATATTTTATATTTATTCGCTTTCATATACGTGTCGTTTTTTCCCCATTGACGGTGCAAAAGTTCGTCCTCCCACCACACCATTGTTTTTGATTCGTGAACGTTTCGGTCTATAATCGTCGGCTTCTGCTATAATCATTAAAATAAAAGTCATTTTTAATCAACGATAATATAGCGGCCACCTGAAATCGCTGAAATAGCGAAGTGACCGTTGCCCATCGACATACGCAATTGCATATGCGTGGCCTACCTTTAATCGTTGGAAGAGTGGATGGATAGAAAGAAAATATTTTTCCTTCCCATGCATCCTCTCCCGGAAAGTCCACTTACAATTCCCATTCTTTTCTTATAAGAAAAAGGGTGTGAAGGGAAGAGGGATACCCATCTGGGTATCCCCCTTCCCTTTTGGATAGATATCCATCTTAACATTTTCATGTATATTATTAGTAAGATAAGGTTACTCATCGCCTAATAAATATCTTGTCATAAAATAAAAATAATTCAACCGCTTATTGAAAATAGTTAAAAAAATATTGAAAAATTAAAAGAACAAAAATAATTCATACACTCATCTGAGTCGCGCCTTCTTCGACTGGATGACTCGTCATCTTTTACTGCAAAACCTTTGTAGTAACGTTTCTTGTTTTCATTATTTTTACTAGCTTTAGTGGAAAGTAATTTTGATAATCTGCAAGGAAACTTTTAAAATCAATTTTTACATCTCATGCAGACGTAGTTTATCTATATTATAAAAAAGAAATCTGGAAACTTGATTTCTCCAATATAATATTTTCTCAGTTTCACCGGCAATATCTAGTTACTAATGATACATAGATAAAACTAACTTCATTAAGGCATACTTACAATCTTCCGATATCGTTCAAATCATTACCATTTAATACATTTCTATTGTTTGATGAGTTTAAAATTAAATATAACTTTGAAAATTTCTTGAGATCCTTCACTTCATTACTAAATTCATTTGTTTTGAAATTTGGTTTCAGATTTACATTATATTTATTATTAATTAATTTCTCATTCAATATCTCTTTCAACAAATTCTTTACAATCGTATCTTCTTTTGACTCCTTAGGTTTATATTTGGCTTTAAATATTAATATAGTCATTGGATTTTCTTTGTTATCTTCAGTATTAGTTCTTGTAATATCATATAAATTGTCCGAAATGACAAGATTTCTATCATTATCTAATAAATCGTCGTCAAAATGTCTACTTCTAGTACCCTGTGTTTTCGATTGTCCATGTAACAGTTGTTGCTGCATCAAAACTATAACTTTCTTTAAATCCTCATCATTTAGACGGAATCCAATAACTTTGTTTATGAAAATATTTATTACTATAAACACTGCAATTAAAATATGTAAATAAACAAATAATCAAGAATTAAATTTATAATAATCTAAATATATAAAAATCAATTGCTGTTTGTTAGTCTCGCTAAAACTCGAGAACGGCTGAACGTATTTATCTTATCTTAGTATTGAAATGTTCGTGGAGATCTAGGGAAGGTTAAAAGGTTAGAAAAGTTCGAATAATTGCCAGGAATTGATTAAGTTTTTTTTCAGTCCACGCGGACGGAGTCGCGGGCAACAGCTAGTTTCAGATATTTTGAAAAACTTCCAAAAAATATTTAAAAATTTACTTTAGTTTTATGTATTAAATAAATAGAATTGCTCTTACCGAGAGTACCGAGCTTGATACCGTTCATACTGATAACTGTTGGTCAGAATCAATTAAAACAGCGAACGTATAAAACTATTAGCCAATTTTATTGCAGCTTTTTTCACGGTAATATAGAATTTCTAATTTCCCTTATCGAGTCTATAAAATTTAGGTCTTCGTGCACCTAAATGACGTAATTAGAATTTTTAATTAGCAATCTACATCTTGATATAAACTGTAATAAAAAATAAGCAACAGAATTTTAACTCATTAATAGTAATAACAACTACGGCTGTAATGAACGTCTTCATGTGTTCGAGGAAGTACTAAGACCTTCCCATAAAACAATTATGTAGTAGAGGTATTTAAACTTCTGCGTTCCATTTTCGTACATTTAATATCACTTACGTTTTGAATATTTTTTGCGGTAAACTTCTGCTTGTATGGACATTAACGGGCTGCGGCAATCGAAATTAGACGACCTAAGGAGTTAGACAAGATGCATTCGCTTGTAAGCGATTCCATAGCGAACTTCAAAAATATATGGAATTGACAATGACTTTCGATAAGTCACGCGATTGCCACACGACAGTACGCTTCCAAGCGAATGCAATTTGTCAAACCCCGCTGTTACTCATTTGATCATTCGAATAAAAAGTGTGATGAAAATGATTACTATAAAACAATTATCTTTTTCACTTTATAAATTTAAAAATGGAATGAATAAAAATAAAAAAAATATATATATTTTCCATTCCATTCCACCTATAATTTTTTCGCATATTTTTATTTATTTTATATTCCTCTGTAGATATTATGCTCAATAATACAGAAATGCAAACGTAAATTAAAAATGAAATAATGTGGTATCTCCGCGTTACACGTTGTGATGTGCATTTCAAACGGAATTTTATAAAGCTGGCCGTACTCGGTTTTCGCTCAAACGTTACTTCTCTATTTTTCTGGGACAGTCTGCAATGCAGGCTTTTTCATTAAATTGAAAAAAAAAGTCGCATCATGAATCCAAAAAGGACGGATTCATGATAACTGCGGTTAAACGAAAACCTCAATTTTGAAGTAATTATTACCAATAAAGGAGTTCTATTTGCAATCACCTTTTTAACAACATTCATGCATGCGTCATGCAGTATTTAAACCTACAAAGAGTTTAAGAATTTTCATGGAACTCTAACTAACTCAAGGTTTCTGAGTCTTCTTCGCTTAAAATATATTGTTATCTCTGTGTTGTCAAAGATAATGACAGGGATGAAGATATGTTTTATACAGAGATTTTGGTATGAGAAACTCACGGTAAGAGGATCTTCGCTCCTCGCGTCTTATCTTCAAGAAGCTCTAATTAGAAGCTCAATTTTCTACGTTCTAAGATATGTTATTGACATTTATAACAGAGATCTAAGAATAATTTATATTGAAAAATCGTATTTTTTTATAAACAAACGTAACGTGCACCTCATAAAATTTTAATGTAACTAGCATACACGGCTTTTCATCCGGCGGTGCATAATTTAAAATTTTTATTTCAGGTCTGGAATGGTCGAAACTTAAAAAAATAAGTATGCAAATGTTGACGTTTAAGGTATAAAATTTAACTGCGGCGTTCGTAATTCTTTTGAAATACCGCTGAGTACTTTCTACATTTTAATTCATATTTTCGGTGGTTCGTCTGCACTCGCCTTATTACTACAATTAAAATTTCAGAAATTTTAAAGTCAAATAAATTATACTGGCCTATCAAATATCGCTTTAACAATAATCGTACTTATTAATATAAGATTCCTTCATTGAACATATATAGTATGTATGTATATTCCTCTAGCGTTGGTATATGAGTTTGTTTAAATAATTTAAAGTTCATTTTTATATCGTAACTATTATTGCCTTTAACTTTTTACTTTTTCATCTTATTAATATTATAAACGCGAAAGTTTAGATGGATGAATGTTTGTTAGAAAGTATCTCTAGAACGGCTCTATTAATCTCGATGAATTTTGGCATGAATGTAGAACATAGCCTGAAAGAACACATTGGTTACTAATTTATTTTTTAATTTCGCGCGGACGGAGTCGCGGGCGATAGCAAGTTATATATAATTTGTTTTAACTATACTTTAGTACCAACATTTATCTAATTTGTTAAGCTCTATGTAACTTCTTAATTGCTCCGTGCACAATTTAGTACGAAAAGAATGTCACTAGAATTTTTAATTATGCAGTAAAAATAAAATGTCAAAAGTACGCTAGAACGAACATAAAACAACATACTCATGCCGTATATTAATAATGTGTTTTATTACGTCAATCTTTTAACACTATAATAATTCTTTAAAGTTTTAGATTTTTTAAAATTACTATTAAAAAAAGCTAGATCGATATCCGCTTTTTAATTAACAAATCGAATAACGCCCTATCAAGGTCAATGACCTTATCAAGGACTTATCGTGAATTTCAGAGACCGAAATCCCCGTTTAAAACATATTACTCTGTTTTGTCGAAGTTAATGAAAAGGATGAAAATATGTTTAAAATATTATTTTTACGGACAATGTGTTACATATATTTGACCGAAATACCGAATGATTATCACCACAAGAAAAAGCGCTTAATCGTTTTGTCATACTAATATTATAAATGCGAATGTTTGGATAGATGGATGGATGTGGGCTAGAAGGTATCTCTAGAACGGCTACATGTATCCCTCTGAAATTTGGTACAGATGTAGAATATAGTTTAGAAGAACACATAACGTACTAATTAAGATTTTTTTTAATTCCGCGCGGACGGAGTCGCGGGCGACAACTAGTTTAAAAATAGGGGCGCATAGATGTTATCATATAGGTACAACAAACACTGACAGAAAAGAGCTCGCGTCTAATGCGTGTTTAATTATACGAGTAGTTCTAAATAAAAGCCACGGATATTTTTTTATAAAATAGCGTGTTACTCAGGTCATCACGATAAAATCATATGAATGTAAAACCTGTCATTGTTGATATTATCTGTATCATCATCATCAAATTCACGACCTTTATTGTAGTTATGCTTTTGAAATAAACCATATAGATTCAATATTAAAAATCTAAAATAAACTTTGATGTAAGCGACAGAAAACAGTTCATAATAATAGTTTACTTAAGATCTTTAAAAAGTACGTTATTAATAATTATTAACTATTAAATTTTTTCCACTTACTAATAGTCAAAAGACCCTAAAAAATAAAAATCGTAACACAAAACATGATGGTTGAGGAAATAAGCTGTAGAAAGTTGGATTGCAAACTGTGTGCTACCGGGCCGCACTTCGCCGCGCTAACTGGTACGAATCTCGGCCAATTGCGATAAAATATTCAGCCGAGACGTGACCTGAGCTGCTCTTACAACGCCTTTTGGAAATTTAATCGAGATTTTCACTCAGACCTATTGTAATAAATATTATAAATATCAAAGTAAGCTAGATTTATTTTATTCTGCTGACTAACTCACGATGTTTTGGTAAATGGAATAATTTTATGAAGACCCAACTTAATCGCATTAATATGAATCTTTTATAATGTTATTAGTTTTTTGTAAGGATTTTGAGTATATTTACGCTTATTAAAAACAATTGCAAAAATAATGTTAAGCTTTGTTCACAGTAGTGAGTTAATGGCCATAACCAGTCAATATTAAGTTCTTTTGGATTATTTATATTACTAATAAACTCTTTGGGAATAATGTATGCATGTGTAATGTAGCATTATATTTTTAATCTATTTTTATATTATTTTACTATTTTTAGTCAATTTACATAAGAAAAATTTTCTCCTGTTTAATCCAATCTCTTAGTTCAAAACATACTTACGAACTTTGAATCTAATCTTTTAAAGTTTCGGAAACTTTTACTGGAGTTAACTGCAGTCTTCCATTTGAATATTGTCGTGCAAGATAATATGAATTTAAATATTTCAAAAAAAATCTTACCACTGAATTGACATTAAAAAAAGCTATAATGAGACTTAACAAATATAAAATAACATTGTTGGTTAGGAGGAAAATTTTCGTGAGAAAATACGTTCGTATAAAATTTCTAAATAGTGCTAATATCACGCAGTCTGCTTGTATCACCAATCGTGACAATTTCGTGTTCCATTTGTCTGAATCGGACCGCATTGCAGTCTCCTAAATGTTGCTAGCAAATGTTCAAATAAAATCACAATTTTACGTTTCATATTGTAAAATATTCATTCACTATTAAATATATAGCATAGAAATTGTCAAACTGGTCCAAATAATCTTACTCCGTCCTTATAAAATTAATATTGGATAATAGGTAGAAAATACCAAATGGCGTGTCAATCGATGGGGGAAGCCTACGTCCAGCAGTGGATAAATTTAGGCTTATGATGATGATGATGAGAAGATAGCAAACAGGTTTGATTAAACACTCTAAGATTACATAATGGTAAGGAAAAACAGGGATATCAATCGTTAACCGCATTTTATGACATTTATTACGACATCGTAAATCTGTAACGTGACAAAGGATGAGCTTATAAAAGAGAAATCCTCGAGCTTATTTCGGCTTTTAGGATATAATTAATTGAGATAAATTACTGTCATTGTATTGTTTATATTATAAACATAATCTTTCTCCTAGTGTCCAACTATCCCTGAGTTTGAATAATATTCCTAATCCTCGACGAAACTAAACTAACTTAATCTTTTAAGTGAATTAAATGTTATTTAGACAAATAATGATTTGAAACGTTTAATTTATAGCAATTGCTTTAAATAATTGAATTTAATATATATAATTTGTTTAGTTCTATGTCCTGTTAGGAAGAAAATCCGACACTATGTGGGTGTATCGGTGCAACACTAGCCTTACTAAAATTTCAACGTTAGTGTCCCCTCACTAATCAAACTGACACTTAACTTGGTAACGAAAGCGCGCTATTCGCGGTAAAGGATTCTAAACTAATAATGTCTAAAAATCCTAATCATTTTAGTAGTAAGGAAATCTAAATAAGCAAAACGATCACTGAAAAACGCTTTAATTCAATACAATCTTCTAGATTTTTCGTTGCAAGATGCATGACTCCAAAAGATTTCCTGACAGGATTTTCTATTGGAAATAGATGTTAAAATGTC